GAGCTTTCTCCATGGCGGGTGAAGCCAGTTATTAGTTCTTTAAACTCAAGCCACCCTTGCATATTCAGTGATCAGCACACCCCCAGAGTACTAGTCATCTTCTAAAACATCCCTGGGGATGGCTGCATAGGGTAGCTTCTTTACCCATAGGGTCAAAATTTACCATCATTTTACATAAGGAAGCTGCTCTCTGGGCACTCCACTCCAACAAAATTTATGCATTTTGCAAGACGACTACTCCAGTCTTCTAGCTCATCTCACTGCTCTTCTTCACCCATCCCATGAAAGAAGCAGTATTTTAATAACTTTTTTTTCAAGTCTTGGAGTAGAGCTAAAAATGCTGAAAAAAAATGCATCTGGGACAAAGGCAGGATACAGAAAATACTGTTTGCATTACTTCTATGCACTTACCAGGAGATAGCAAGAACTTAGACTTATTTAGGTTGGAAGAGACCTTAAGAAAATTTCTTCACCAAAACGGTAGTCAGGCATTGGAACAGGCTGCCCAGGGCAGTGGTAGAATCACTGTCCCCCAAAGTGTTCAAAAACCATATAGATGAGGCCCTCAGCAACATGGTTTAGTGATGGATTTGGCAGTCCTGGAGTAATGGTTGGGCTTGGTGATCTTAAAGGTCTTTTCCAACCTAGTTGATTCTATGATCATTGAATCTAGCCATAATATAGCACTACCTTCACCACTAAACCGTGTCCTTAAGCGCTATGCCTACATATCTTTTAAATATCTTCAGGGGTCAGCTGCCTACCCCATTAACCTAATGATGTCCATTCCTAAGAGGAAAATCCTGGTGCTAATGAACTCCCTGGCAAGCTCTCTTGGATCTAAAGCCCAGGATTGAACAGGGGGGCCTGATCTAAAGCTCACTGAAGCCAAGGACTCCTGCTGCTGGCATTGATGCTCACTGTCAACCTTTGTGCTCAGCTTTGCCCAGGAATAACATTATTGTGACTATAACAGCATCAATGCTATTTGTACACTTTGTCCTCTGCTGGGCAGAGAAAGCATAAATGCAAAACAGTAAGCAGGTATTTGCCACTTAAAACAGTCAATGAGTCAAGGCTAAGGAAGGAGAAGGCCAGCTCCCACCTCCTGTCATAGCACATAACAGCTGTATTCCTAGCTCAGGGCCTCACCGCTGTTATGGCAGCAGGGGCAGAGAGATGGGAAAGAATGGGGTGGGATGCTTGATGCCAGCTGCCAGAGCAGGCACTAGCACCTCTGAAGGGAGGAAAGAGAAAACACGTTCCTCTGTGAGGCCACTATTACAAAGCCTCTGGGCCCTCTCCAATCTGAATGAGATTGATTATTTAAGGCTGCTCAGCTTTGCAGTAGGGGAGTGAGGTAGCAAACTTCTCATGGAGTTCCAACTGCATTTAAACTCAGTAAGTCTGGCACAAAGGTTGACAGGACAAGAAGTGAAGAGGGGCTGTAGGTTATGATTTTTGAAAATTACTTTTAAACTGAGTCATTCCCCTGTGATGAGTCTTTAAAGTCACACTATGTATTCAAATAGGGGCGTAAGCCAGGAAAACATGCAGCATATGATCCTCTCTCTGTAGGCACCCAGCAGTGCTAAGAGCAAGATGAAGGCAGGAGTATCTGCAGCCTCTCAAGAATGTCTTCTGCTCTTTTAATAGTTCTCCTTGGGAGGGTGTGGAGGTTTGTATCACATATCATTCTCCTGTTGCTGAATCAAAAATAGTGCAATGATTCATTTTTTACAGGCAGTGAGACAGTCACCAGCCACACCAAGCACATGTTCCACCACCTGCTCTGGTCCGGTTTACCCAGGGTCTATTTCAACCACGGGTCCTCTCAACTCAAGCAGCAGTTTTGCTTGACCAAGGTCTGCAATACTGATTAAATACCTCTTTCTGCTGCAGTACATGCTTTCAGCAGGTTGGCAGATTATGTCCTTTGATCAAAAAATCCACTGAAATAAGTGGGATTTTTTCTGCTGCCTTCCAGGAACCTTGGGTCACAGCTGTTGGGTTTGAGAAGTCCACCTTGGAATTGGGAAGCTGTCCCTGGATGAATGCAGGGCCACCTGGGAGCATGCACTGCAAAGAGCATTGACTCTGGCTGCTTTTAGCAGCAGAGAGAGAAACACCAGAGGCAGGAAGGTGTAACCGGGGAGCCTAAAATGCAGTGATTTTGAACCTTCTTTTCTCCTGAACCCTAACTTGAAGAGCTAAACCATTTTCCCTTCCACAGGGACCTGCAGAATGAACAACAGGGAATAATCTATGGTAGTTTATTAATATCCAGTTCCTAGGAATAGGTATTTCCTTGCTCTGTACAAGGAATCCCTGTGAAAGTTGCAAGTTGGCAATTTCACAATAGATATTAGGCTTCCAATATCTGTTTTATTTTTGTATTTTATTTCCTAAAGCATTCTTGTGCTTTATCTCAAATCAAAACAACCTGTGCTAGCAGACCTACAATAATCACCTTTAGGGGTGACCAATATACAAAAAAAGAGTGGAAGAGGAAGGAAAACATAAACTTCCGTTTTCAGTGAACTACTATTCATTAGATTGATATTATTAACTATTAATAACTAACTAACCACTAGAATCATTTGCCACAGACCCCTCCTAACACTGATCGCAACAGGGCTGTGCTGTGACCTGTACCTTGCTCAACATGCAGCAATATTTACCCACTGGATTGAGCAATGCAAATCATGTCCAGCCCACAGTCTCGCTTTACAGGGCTGACTGAATTTTGACATTAACCCCACTGCTAATCTATGCTAGCACGTAAGCCTTGGCCTTGTTGAAGACTTTTATGCCAGCCTCTCATATCTGCTTTTTAGGTCTCTGATCTCGCACCTCAGCATCGTCAGACCTCTACTGGTGCAAAGGGCTTCAAAAATAAATAGTTTGTTACTTCTTGACATTGTCTTCCCACTGTGTCACTTGTGGATTTAAATACTGGGGTTTTTTGTCCCTCACCATCTTTTGCCTTCATATGCAGCCTCTTGAGTTCACTTCTGGTTTGTATCAATTTTATAGGGACATTGTCCTACTGAAGTACACTGCTATAACACTGTACTTATCATGTGCTTTGCGAGATAAAGAGACAAGGTCAAACCTTGTTATGCTCTATTTTGCATACATATGCCACTTGATTTCATTATGAAAAGCAACATGAAACTGATACTCCCAGTTGCTGTGTTCTCACCAGCAGTATTTTAAACTGTGGCATATAACTTAAGTGTTCTCCAGTCTCTATTTCTGATTATAAGCTCTGCGATCCTTCTGTCCATCCAAACAGCTTAACAAATTCCAGTTTGAATGTACTAAACAGTGTGGACTGAGTATAAACTGATAATGGCCTCCAGACTCTGAATCACATGAAAGAAATTCCCATGGACACGGCTGGTTACACCAGACCCTAAACTCAGCAATGGGTCACTACAAAACCTACAGCTTCCCACTTTTTGTGTCTACATCCTCCCCTCAGTCAGGGCAAGCTGCTGAGCAAGTAGCCTCCTACTTCCCTCACACTGGTTTCTGTGCAGAGCACATGTGGAGAGGTACTGGCAGTGGAAGTCATAGCACACTCCTCTAGCTGTTTGGCAGGATCCCAGGTGCGATACCACCTACCAAAAAGCGACGTAGGCTGAGAAAGAAAGTTCAAAAGCCCACTCACTTTGGACTTCAACTGTGGAAAATGCAGCGTTTGCTCATTGCTAAGAATGAGGACTTTTCTACATCAATTGATAGCACTGATGTCTTCTTCAGAACCTTCCTACAGAGAATGGGGGCGGTCAGCACAAGTACCACTTTAAGACAATTTCAGATATTTGCATTCCCAAATACTTTGTAAATGACAAAATAAAAGATCCTCACAAAGAAGTAATATCCCTAGGACAAAATGAATACACTTACTCTTTCTTGCTCTGCCCCCAGAATGCTTCTGAGTATTTTAAATGGTGAAAGGACAGAGGGATTTAAAATTACAAGAATCCTGAGATTCAAAATCACCAGCACTTTGACTGACATAATCCACCACGGTGATTTTAATAGTACAAATCCTGCCTTCCTCATAATATTATGATGCCTATTTTTTTTTTATTGCAAGACTGCAGAAAATTGGGCAGATACTTGTAAAAGAAGTAACAAAAGGTTGTCCTGAAAGCAGCCCAGTGAATACAAGCTGTTTCCTCCAGTCTTTCCCCTCCATCTCACAGTGAACAAATGGAATTTTCTACTTCTCTGTTGCACAGATTTCCCTTAAGGAAAAAGAAGCTTGCATCAGTTCCTGAAAATAGTTGCATGCAAGTGCTCCTGAAACTACTTCACATTTGGGTCAAATCTTGAAAACAGCTTTAAAAAGCTACCAGAGCTGAAGAGGTTTTATGCGAGCACCTCAAGCTGTGTCTTGCACATCGAAATATGGCACTAAAGAGACTAGAGAGAAGCCAACGATTTCAAGTCACTGGAAAGCTAACTCTATGACTCTAATAAGAATAGAGCAGTGGTATTGTGACAAGTGATAAAGAACAATGAACTTTCAAAGGGACAAAGGTGTCTAGGAAAGGCAAACAGCCCTACTGTAAGTGCCCCTCTGATAGGCAGTGGGAGATGGAACAGAAGCACTAAAAGGGAAATCTGGAAAAGAATGTGACAGTTAGGCTCAATCTTACAGAAGAAGTTAATTCATCAGAAGGATTTAATTATTCCCTATTATATAAAAAAAGGTGGTTTTATGATTACAAATGTAAAAATAGGCCTTTCCAAATTTTCTTTGCTGACTGCTTGTTAATGCTAGTTTGACTGTCTTTTCATTGTGAAGCATCACATTTTCAGAGCTGTTCACAGAATACTATTGGTGTATTGGGAATCTGAAATCTGAACAGGGATATATTCTTTTAACTCGCAGTCTGATAATGCTGATACAGGTCTTCATAAACTGAAAAATATAAATATTGAAAATAGAACTACTATTTTATCATTTTAAAACAAACTTTGAATTTTTCCAAACATTATTTCATTTTATTATAGATGCCTGAACATTTTCCATAGTCAATATGGAAGTTTTGTCACACTTTTGCATGAGTTTGGCATATTGTTACACTGACAAGGCATTCAAATATTTGCCATGTTATTGCTAACACAAACCATTTAGGTGTATGCTGTGAACTATGCAACATAGAAGAACTTGATACTAGAAGCTCCTTAAACAAGTTGGAAGTAACTTGGTGCCTCTCTGCACAGCTTGTAAACAGGTGTTGGATCAAATCTGTAATGCTTATTTAGGTTTTATTTGGACAACTTTACCTTTTTTTACTTAAGTGGCAGTTTGCCCTGTTAATAGCACACTGCAGTTAATACTGCTACTATCTCCTAATAACCCTACATAGAAATAAAATTGCTGACGTTACTAATATCCCCAGATAGCAGATTTGCAAGAGTATGTAAAGGGGAATCGCTCCTCTTGTCACTGAGGAACTGAGGGAGTAAACATGGCTCCTTCACTGTTGCTGGTAAATACCAGATCTTGCATTCCGCTAAAAAACAAGGCAGGCACTTGCTGCGTAGGGAGATCAGGATGTAAATGGAAAGGGAATAGTTTCCTCAGCACGTGTACGTTTGGTGACAAAGCATCCCAGAAGCAACCACACCGTCTTACGCATCTCTCCTTTCCCTAAGCACAAGAACCTGGACTTCTTTTACAAACAGGAAAGGAGTGAAAGGTTTTGCCTACTGCATGCAGACAGAATTTCAGCATTCAGCACTGCCCTTTCATTTAAAGTATCTTTGTCTGTTCCCTAATTATCTAACAGTATTCACTCTGACCTAAGGGAGAGATTAGATTTTTTTTTTAATTGAGATCCTATTGCCATGTGGCTCTGTGTGTGTGCGTGTGTGTGAAGTTGCTTCTCTTCTTTTAGAAATCAGAATACAGATTTTTTCCTATTTATAATTAATGACAGTTGTTTTATTAACCACTACTCTTTCTAAAGGCAAAGCATTGTTTACCATCAGAAATGTACAGTCTAAAAAGGTATTCCTGAATGTTTTCTTTTGTAAGTGTACAGGGTTATAATATAAACAAAAGCAGATATTCAACTATATTTCATATTGCATCTGATAGGAGTGGCTCCATACAATATGGATGAAGCAAATCCAGCAGTTAATTTCTTTGAGACATAAAGAGCATAAAACACAGACATTTCCAGATCTGGTCTTGTATCATACATAACATTGCCTGACCCTTTTGTTATCATTAAAATCCAGCCTACTTTATTAATTATTCATATTTTATTTTGCTATATTGATTGTTCAAGTTAGAAAAAACCAGTTAAAAAGTACTGACTACAGGACACTGCAAGACCCTAGGTACTGCAAACTCTGAGGATAAATATACATTTATTTTTTGAGAAAATATGTCGTTACCTGCAGATGAATCAATGCAAAATGATCGTGCAATTAAATACAACAGTCTCAACTGAAATTTAAAGCTGCAGACCATGTTTTCCCTACTCCCAGTGCTGCTTGAAATCTCTCACACTTAAAAAAATAGAATTAGCTTTAGATTTATCCCACAATAAATAACACCAGAACATACCTTGTGCTACCAACCTGAATTTAAAAAAAAAGTAAGAGGCCACCTCAGTGTTTTGAGTTTATGGGATCTTTCAGACACAAAGCCCTAACAGAGTTTCCCAGTCAAAAGGCATCAGGAAGGCTCATCGCTTATGGTAAACTTGGGCTTTAGCTTCACAGACCTCTTCCTTATTGTGCCTTTAGGGGAAAACGGCATGGTATCCATAATGCTCTTGTCCTCCTCCAGCTGCCTAGCAGTGCATGAAGGCGTGGGCACTTTCACTGTGTTGCCAAATTTAGAGTAGTCCACAGAGTATCGCCCATCTTCCTCTGCCACAATGGGCACAAACCTTTGACCCCAGAGAATTTCATCTGCCAGGTAGGAGGTTCTGGCTTGAGTGGTGATGCCAGTGGTCTCCACCACCCCTTCCAAGATGACGATGATCTCCAGGTCCTCATGGTGGTGAAGGTTTACAGGGGAGATGTCGTAGAGGGGGCTGTTTTTGTCTATCACGTGGTAGATAATGAGTGGGGAGACGAGGAAGATGCTGTTGCCCCCTACAGGGTTCTCCATCTGGATGTCTATCTGGTTGAGGGGCACCACCTCCCCCTCCAGGCTGGTGGTCTTCTTCACCACCTGCATGCGGATGGTGGCGCTGATGATCATGCTCTTCCGGAGGTCCCCCACCCGCAGCATGAAGCAGAGCTTGCCCTCCCGCAGGGCGATGACCGCGTGCTTGCTGAAGATGAGGGTCTCAGCTCGGCGGTGGGCTTGCGAGGTCTTCATGAAGATGCAGCCCAGCATGATGGCATTGATCACCAGCCCCACGATGTTCTGCACAATCAGCACCAGGATGGCGGCGGGACACTCCTCTGTCACCATGCGTCCCCCAAAGCCAATCGTCACTTGCACCTCGATGGAGAAGAGGAAGGCAGAGGTGAAGGAGTGGATGCTGGTCACGCAGGGAACAAAGGTGGCCGGGGCCCCTTCTACCCCTTCTCTGGGGTCACGCTGCAGCCGGGTGCTGTGATCCAGGTCTCCGTGGGCGAAAGCGATGAGCCACCACACCATGCCGAAGAGCAACCAGCTGCAGAGGAAGGACATGGTGAAGATGAGCAGTGTGTGATGCCACTTGAGGTCTACCAAGGTGGTGAAGACGTCCTGGAGAAAGCGTCCCTGCTCCCGGATGTTTTTATGGGCCACGTTGCAGGCACCGTTCTTGCCCACAAAACGCGCCCGACGCTCCCGTGCGCGATACCGGGCATGATCCGGCACATCCTCCGCCAGCCGGGTCAGCACGTACTCCTCGGGGATGATCCCCTTCCTCGACAGCATGGCTGCCCGCCGCTGCCGCTCAGCGCCGCCCCATGCAGCCGCCGCTCTGCCGGGGGTGGGAGGGAAGGCACGGCGGGGGAAGCGGGGGACGACAGCACGACGGGGCCGAGCGGGCGCACGGCGCCGCTGCAGCCCCCGCGGTATCCGGGCACGGTGGTGCGGCGGCCGCCAGGCGGCGCCGCCGAGGTACGAGTCGGCGGTCGGGAAGCGGCGTGGGGAGCAGGGGTCGGCCTCTGCCGGGCCTCGGTGTTGCGGCCCCGAGGCGGTGCCGGTCCCTCGGCGAGCCCCAGCGGAGGGACGGGGACTGAGGCGCTCCCGCGCGCCTGTGTGCGGAGAAGCCGCGCGCACCGCCGCGTAACGGTCGTTGAGCAACGGCGGCAACGGAAGGCGGTTAAAAACCGTCTCCGTGAAGGGCAGGGAAGGGGGGATCCGAGTCCCGGATTGCTCCCCGGTGAGCGCTGTATGCGTTGGTCACCTCTTTACCTCAGTGGTGGTGTGGGTGCGGGGCTTTTCATTCTTTTAGTTATTATTATTTTTTTCCCCTGAGGAAGGGGGAGGTCTGGCTGCGGCCGCGGTTTCTGTGTTTGTTCCAGGATGGGTTTCCTGGCAGTACCTGGATTCCTTCCGTTAACGGTGGCTGCTTTGTGGGATGATGTGGTTTCACCACACACAGGTTGGGCAGTTGTTCTGTGACGCAGAAAACAAAATAGGACTGGGTTGGCTTTCAATGGAAAAAAAATCCTGAAATTCACCTGCACATCTGTCTTTCTGGGAGTGCGGGAAAAGCGTTTGTCTGATGAGCCTGGCAGGCAGTGGGAGGAAATTTGCCTGAAGAGGCCAAGTCCAGGATGTGTGGTTAATCAGAGACCTGTAACTAAAGGGTCTCAATCCAGCTCATAAAATTTGCAGGAGTTATTTAGGTTTGACCAAGGAAGGATTTTTCCTACAGAAGGAGCTCATGAAACGTGAGCTCTGGCTGCCTGGGAGAATGTCTGCTGTGCAGATAGCAGTACAGGTTGCAAAAGAATGGTCTGTCGGCAGATGGTTAACCCACACTGGCAAAAACGTCCAGACATGCATCAAAATCGCCAGCGAAAGGGGACAGGGAGGTAGGAAACCTGTGTGTGGCAGTGTGATGTCTCTGTGTGCATACATACACGTGCACGTGGAGGTATCTGTGGGACAAGGTGCATTATTTAAAAACACTCTTATGTGACTGCTCCACTGTTAAATAGCAATATTCTCATTCATGGGTTTACCTACTCTGATTTAAATATTTTGGGTTTATTTCAGTTTAGGCACCAACACTGTAGAATTGCTAAACCATCCTGGGATATTACGGATAAGATGTTTTTATTTACTACCAGTGGATTCACGATTACATTTTTCTAATTGTATGTGTCCATGGACTTTCTCTTCAGTTTTGGCTATGAATGCTTTGGTACACACTATAAGCAGTTATTGGCATTGATTGCCTGGGCAAGGCAATTGCACAGTTGATGGTTGGGAGCCAGCCAGTTGGGGTTGAATCAACATTCACCACCTACAGCTACTTACAATGGCCCACATAGGGACTTCAGAACAGTAGTTTTAAGTAATCACTATCTGATCTCTCTGAGCAGTTGTTGTAAGTCTTATAATTAAATGATCACTATTACTTTAGACTATTGCTACTTTTTATATATGAAGAGTTACGTGTCCTTGGACACATTCATTACTTGCAGAGGGGTCAGTTTCCCAATACTACATGCTGCTTCTTGTTCTGGGTCATCTTTCTTGCCGCTTTGATAAATAAAGATAACAACAAGATGCCCTGCTGAGCTTAGCCAAAGATATTTTTCCTTTTTCTGTATTACTTTGTGAGCTAGACATTTTTTGTGTGCTTACTGTGAATGTCACCTACACCTACACTTAAAGTACATGATTTATATATATAACTTTAAAAAAATGTATTTTTTTTACTTTTTTCCCTAAACATTTAAAAACCCACAAATGTCTGAAGAAATTTGAAGATTTCCTTGTCAGAAGTGTGGTTCTCCAGCTGATGGCAGCTCATAGTTACTTCCATCATTTTGAAGTGAGCATGAAGAGGCTCTATAACACCGTTGCAGTTCATAAGTAGCATTTCACACATTTTTGCAGAGATGCACGTAAGTGTTCAAGAGGCAGTCATGTCTTTCTGGCCATTTCTTCCTCTTTTTCTAATCGTTATTTTATTCTATACCTTTTCCTCCAGAGGGCGGTAACTACGTGGATGTGGAATGAAAAAACCTGTGTTGGGCAGGAGTGTTTTAAAGGGAAAGGTAAATTGCTTCATAGTCTGGTGCTAGCCCTGATGCATGGAGCCTACTACAACAAGGGGTGTTTCCTGAACAGTCACCACGCTGGCTTTAGGAATCCTGAACTCTGTAAGGCTAGAAGGGTGTTCCCTTTTTTCCACTTCTGTTCTTTTTTGGGACTGTGATTTGCCACTTCTTTTTCCTCACCTCTGAGCACTTATTTGCTGAGATAGGGCAGCAAAGCAAGTGGCTTCAGCTGAGGAATTTCTAGAGCGGAATTAAAACAAGCCCTGTCTTTGTGGATCAAGTAACAGATACTTAATAAAAAAAAGTGACAGATCTTCTGAGTGAGCCAACATATTTGTGTTAAGAGCTGCTGAACAAATTGGGCTCACGGGAACGAACAATCCCACTCTGTAGTATAGAATCTTGGAGGGTAACTTTTTCCACCCACAAAATAGGTTTTACATTTGAATACTCCTCTCTGCTCCAATTTATCCAAACTTTAATGGCTATCAAATAAGATACTGCTGTAAATTAAATTAAAATTTAGTTGGCACTGTGGTATTACTCTGCCTTTAGAAGCAGACCTTTCTTTCAAAGGCTGTGCAGTGTTAACCTAACATGAATTAAGCCTCACAAATCACCATTCTGTGAGAGTGGGTAAACAGAAGAAAAGAGATCCAAGCTGGTTATGCAAAGCCACAGGGGAAGGCATGAGCAGAGCTAGTAAGAGGGCTAATGTAGCAGGCGTGCTGTGTTCCCTCAGAAATAAGTAGAAGAGGATGAAATAGCCACACTAAGACAAGGAATAAATGCTATAAAGGTTTTTGTATAACAGGAGCATTTGTAGAAAGAAAGAAAAAAAATAAATTAAAATAGACCCAGGTTGCGTCTCCACAGGCAGCCTATCCCACTAACACCTTTGGGACCCAGCCAAGACACATCCCAGAGGAGAAATGAAAGTCTGGACATGGCAGCTCCCCTCAGCAGCTTCACATGGCTGCTCTGGAGCTGTCTTGCACCCATTTTAGTACAGCATTTTCACAGTATCACACAGTATGCTAGAGATTGGAAGGGACCTCGAAAGATCATCTAGTCCAATCCCCCTGCCGGAGCAGGAACACCTAGATAATGTTACACAGGAATGTGTCCAGGCGGGTTTTGAATGTCTCCAGGGAAGGAGACTCCACAACCTCCCTGGGCAGCCTGTTCCAGTGTTCCGTCACCCTCACTGAGAAGAAGTTTCTTCTCAAGTTTAAGTGGAACCTCTTGTGTTCCAGTTTGTACCCATTACCCCTTGTCCTATCATTGTTTGCCACTGAGTAGAGCCTGGCTCCATCCTCGTGACACTCCCCCTTTATATATTTATAGACACTAATAAGGTCACCCTTCAGTCTCCTCTTCTCCAAACTATAGAGACCCAGCTCCCTCAGTCTTTCCTCATAAGGGAGATGCTCCACTCCCTTAATCATCTTTGTTGCCCTGCACTGGACTCTCTCCAGCAGCTCCCTGTCCTTCTTGAACTGAGGGGCCCAGAACTGGACACAATATTCCAGACGGGGTCTCACCAGGGCAGAGTAGAGGGGAAGGAGGACCTCTCTCGACCTACTAACCACCCCCCTTCTAATACACCCCAGGATGCCATTGGCCTTCTTAGCCACAAGGGCACAGTGTTGGCTCATGGTCATCCTGTCGTCCACTAGGACCCCCAGGTCCCTCTCCCCTACACTGCTCTCTAACAGGTCATTCCCCAGCCTATACTGGAACCTGGGGTTGTTCCTGCCCAGATGCAGGACTCTACACTTTCCCTTGTTATATTTCATCAAGTTACTCCCTGCCCAACTCTCCAGCCTGTCCAGGTCTCGCTGGATGGCAGCACAGCCTTCTGCCGTGTCAGCCACTCCTCCCAGCTTAGTGTCATCAGCAAACGTGCTGATAGTACACTCAATTCCCTCATCTAAATCGTTGAATATATTAAATAATACCGGTCCCAGTACTGACCCTTGAGGCACTCCACTAGTTACAGGCCTCCAACTAGACTCAGCCCCATAGACTACAACTCTCTGGCTTCTCTCCTTCAGCCAGTTCACAGTCCACCTCACTACCTGATCATCCAGTCCACACTTCCTCAATTCAGCTGTGAGGATGCTGTGGGAGACTGTGTCAAATGCTTTGCTGAGTAATGCTTCATTGCCATGCAAAACACATTTGTGAACCTGATTTAATAATGACTTCTGGACCGTCTTCCTCAAGGTAACAGCTTTAATGACTCAGATAATGGGTGTGAGCCTCCCACCATGGAACAATTTTCTTGGATACTGTGTCTGGTTATGGTGAAACTCTAACCCTTTGGAGTTAGGGGGCAGGAACTCCCTGGGACTTGGCCCCATGTAAAGCAGACTAGATAAAACATGCTGAGGAAATGTGAAGTGTATTCTGTCCAAGTGGCGGCTAAGAGGCCTCCCTGTTCACGCATGCTTACCCAGCAGTGTAGTACCATTCAAAAGATACATAATTGGTGGGTATGACCCAACTCTTCCTACCCTCCTGCAATGCTGCTTTGTGAAATACAAGCCCCACAATGATGGAAATGTATGGTGCTTGTACTTTGTGTTCTTATTTATTAATACCTCAAGATATAATGCTGTTGTCTTAGTGACATGCTGTGTCCTTTACTCCCTTGCATTACTATCCAGGTAAGATTGTCAGAGGCTTGTGGAAGAGCAGCTAGTCCAAATTGCAGTGTCAAATTCCAGGCACTTTATTAAAAGCATATGAAAATTCACTTTATCTTCCACAGATGGTTGCAAAGCTTCTGAAAATCTCTCTTTGCAGCATGAGTTTGAGATGTTCTGTAGGGTGGTGGTCTCCCTAAGTTTTTACAGAATGAGATCTTGCCTTAGACCAGTACTGGGCATCTAGGAGACAAGCATGCATATTAGCTGTAGTAGAAACCTGTACGTTGACTGAGCTCTTCTGCTACCCTGGAAGGATAGTCACCTATCTCCCATCTCTTCCCTCTTAGTCCTAATGTGTCCCTTGTATCGCAGTGTGAAAACACACCAATAGTTTTGCAGCTGTTTTTTCTTTGACACTACCAAGCAAATGAGTCCCTGGAGGAGTTACCTCCCAGCTGCATCTTCTCTTTCTTCATTTGCAGCAGGCAGTGACAGAAGTCATGCATTTTATCTGCATAACTGTATTCTATCTCCCTCCTTTTATCGCTGTTCATCCTATACTCTCCTGCTGGTTCTCAGGCCGCGGTTTAATGCCCTTAGGTATTACAGAAATAATAGCAGGCAGATGCTGCAAATACTGTGCTCTGGAATTGATAGCACTACTTAAACAGCAGTAACAGTTCTTCAGTTTTCATAGTTTCAGCACTAGAAGTAATGCATTAAAAATACCATGTATCCCGTGATAACACTGAGGCATATTTTTTCTAAAAAATAAATCATTCAAAAAACAGATTCCAAATTAATTGAGCAGGCTAAAGGAGAAAAAAACAACAAATGATTTTTCCCAAGTGCTAGGAATTCTTCAAAATGGGAAAAAGGACAAAAATGGATGTAAAGCCAAAGTTGCCGTAAAAAGAGTAATAGCAAAAAATTCATTATAGCCTTCCATTGGGTTATTGACATTCTAACCTCTTAATAATTAGTAAATCCTGGAATGACTGTCACAATGAATCAAGAGGGCAGGGATAAGTAGCCGTCTAGCCAAATTAGGATAATTTTGGTACTTACAAGCTATCTTAGTAAGTATCCATGATTTATTGGTAAGTGCAACAGTGGGTGAAATATATGAAACTAGGAGAGGATGAGTCAAGCTTACATGGCTCCGAGACATAGTGAACGATTTAATACAGTTTATTTACCAGACTTGGAGGGATGATTTCCAAGTGAATTGGTACATCTGCACTGGTCTGGAAACAGTGGGCATTAAGCAGTGATACTTTATCACAGCCTGCCTGCTCTTAGCTTCTTCACAGTTTGGGAGCCAGTCAGGCTCAATCTCATTTGGAATCACTATAATATTATTCAGTGGGGGTAGAAGTGAAGTAGCCTAAGAAAGACTAAAGGAATCGGATTGTGATTAATTGCTAAAGGGTATTAAAGGAGAGACCATCAGACACAGGCACTACCAGTAAACCACAATGTAACTTTTTTAAAATAGATTTTATATTTAGATATTAAAGCTTTACAGAGTCATATGATTAAAAGAGATACAAGCTTTCTAGAAATACCTTTGGTATATAATTTTTCTGTCTGCATTTAGTCAGTCATAAGCATTATCTACAGTAGGGCTATTACACATAAAAAATAACATGTTAATAAAATGGCAGGAGAAGTTTAAGATTTACATAAAAACTCGATGCTGGCTATGCTTGTTTGATGTGCATCCTGTCATATTTCACCCATGTAGGTTTTTTCCAACCATATTTCATGGTGCTTTGGTGCCAAATAAAAACAAGAGTAGTATGCAAAAAAAGGAAAGTAGATGGGTAATTCATTAATACTTCCGATGGAGAAAATTGGCTCATTTTATTAAAAAAGGAAAACCTCAATTATGAAATAGTATTTATTTACAGGTATTTTACATTTTTAGAAAATAATACAATTGTACTTTAAAATGCTTCATTATTTTTTATTACTTATCTGCTTGTACAAAAGAAGCAAAGACACTGTCTTCTTGTTCTAGCAGAACTTCAGGCTTGTCATATTCCAAAATAACCCCTCTCTTCATTACAATAACCAAATCCGCATTGAGGATTGTGTGCACTCGGTGCTGAAAAACGAATAAACAAAATACCAGTTCAGTGTTTCTATGAAATATATTCCAGGATAAGAGAGAATTCCAGAAATTAATTTTCCTATCACGTTCAGTTAAGGCTACTTGTCATCCTTATTTACTGTGCAGCTGCTGCAGAGCATTACACACGAAGAGCCACATGAATATTCAAGTGCCTAAACTGCACACAGGTACTTGGCTATGAAGATTCATATTGGTTCAGACTACAGTGTCCCTAGCCCAAAGTTCTTCCATCAAACATTGCCACAAGGAGGTAGCCAGGAAGAGTGGGCAAGTGCAGTACTGCACAAGGGTACTCTCCCAGGCCTGGACTACATCTGGGTCAGAGTGGTTCCTGAGCTTGGTGTAGTTTGTCCATTTGTAAAACTGACTACAATCTCTTTAAGACCTTTCCCACATCTCTCTTGAGCTTTCAGAAACATTTTGCATCCTCATCCTTTGGAAAAGATTTTTTCAGGTTTGGTCCCCACTGCACGAATATCTCATTTTGTATGCTCTGGGCCTCGCTGCTCAGAGCTTCACTTGATGCCCCTTGCCTCATGATTTTGCAGACCTCTCTCACATGTCCTTACATTGTCCTTTCAGGTGGAAGAAAACTAGCCTGCTCAGCTGCTCTCCCCTTAAGGAGCAGTTCCCCACCTCCGATCATCTTGTTCTTTGCAACATTTTTCAGTTGTAATGTATCGTTCTGGGGATGAGGAGACTGGAACTACATGCATTATTCAAGGTATGTGTGAACTATAGACTTACACAGTGGTATGATGTTTTCGTTCTTCTCTACCCTTTTTCTAATAAGCCCTAGCATTTAACTATTTTATTAGGAGGAAACCTCCCCATTTTTTTTTTTTCACAGTTAATACTGAAAATAATTAATTCAGCTTTTCTGCAATACCTTTCTCTTTCCTGAGCATTCTTTTCAGGTACTGATCATCAGATAGCCCTATAAATTGACAGACTTCTTGCTCCCAGTGTGTTTTAGGGATTCATGGATTTGCTATTAGCTATGATGGCTTCCAGAAGCTGGTCTTATACTTTATTTTTTTTTTGGCCTGCCTTGTTGCATTTTCACATGTAACATGCCGGAGCTTATTATCATTTCTATTTTCTTTATTTGGCTATGACTTCAGCTTTTACAAGAATGCCTTCTTGTTTCTAATAATCTTTTTTCATTTGTTTAGCCACACCAGCTTCTTTCTATCCTAACAAATAGCATGCACTGGCTGTGGGATTTCTGAATAAAATCCAAATCCTTCTGTAATTGCCATGATCCCTGACAGATTCAGTTTTCCTTGCTGCTTCTTTTAGCTTTTTTCCCTACCATTTTTTGGTATTTTTTTTTGGCAAGCTCTCAGCTCTCTCATTTTTTGAGAATTCCACTTTTAACATGTAAAATCCAACTGCACCAGATTTTTGAGTCTGCATTACTTTTGTAGGGATATTTAATCTTAGAATACTATGTACCCTGTTACCTATTCACTCTTCACCCGTAAGGTTTCTAACAAGATCTTGGGCACTCTCAGTACCAAAACAACTCTTGCATTTCCTTCTGTGTCTTCCTAGCCAGATGTTCCATAAAAATAATCACTGATAGCATCTACAAATCTCATCTCTGCTGCAGTCCTTCTGTGACATTTATTCAGTCTACAAGAGGGGGGAGGGGACTGAAATATCACAATCCAGCTGTACTTGCTGCCCTGGTTTTCTGATCTCTTTCAGTATAACACAATCATTGCTGCCATCCTGATAAAAAGTAACACAGATGATAACATAGACACAATACTGTACTCTTTCCATTCTTATTCTTCCTAAGCACAAACAAGTAATATATGGCTTTCTCTGAAGAAAAAAAAAACAAACCAAAAAAACACCCCACACAAAATCAAACAAACCACAAAAAAAAAAACAACAACAACCCAAACACAACCCAAACCAAACAAAATAAAAATACACACACAAAAAGCCAAAACTACTACTAAACCCCACCCCCCCAAAATCCCCCATGTTATGTGTCTACTACAGAATACTTTGAATACAAATCCACTTGCAGTAAACCACTTTTACATTTGGAAGTACAAACATTCAAAGTAAGTTTATTCCAAAGTGCTGTTTGCCTGAACTGTGCAATTTAAAATTCGCTCAGTCTTTCACTAAGAGAGTGGAAGACCAATAAAACTTTCTCAGCCTATCCCCAAACAAACAGAAAAAGATACATAAATGCAGATGCAGTGCAACTCAGAATTTTCATGCAGAGAAATCAGGAAATTTCATGTTTATGATTCCCTTGCTTTTTTTGTAATGACACACAGAATGGATACCATAAGATAAACAGGTTTTTCTATTACACGTTTGCTAGGTAAAAATAAAAAGATGCTCTAAGATTCTTGAGCATAGGTTTTTTTGACTTGTGTTTAATTTTTAAATGTTAAGAAGCATAATGACTTTATTTTGCCTTCCTGAAATATGTGTATTTTTAGAAATAGAGGACTGAAAGGTATGTATTGCTTCTGACGTATCTGTTGAGTCAGCTACTTTGATTCAGGTCAAATCTCTTTCATAAACGATTTTTCAATAGATGCTCAAGATCATTGTATAATCACTTCACGAATATGCAAGCTTGAATTCAGTGACTGTCAACAAGGATGGAATATTTATTTTTAAAGGTTAGGAGGATTCTATTTTTTTAAATTCTGAAACACAATTGCTTTTTCCAGTGGCAGAACTATCACATAATTTTACTTGTCCTTAGTTACATGATTATTGCAGCTTGATGAAACTTCTTCAGATTTCACAGTAGTCAAAGTCATATTATAATTTAAATTAGCCTAAAACAGGTAACAGAAAATAGACTGCATACTTGGATTACATGCACTTGCAGGCAGTTGGACTTAGCTTCACACAGCCCGTGACAGAAGCTGTTATGCTTTTAATAATGCAGTTTAAAATGGAAGATAAAGCTTAAAATTAAACACAGTTAAAAAAAAAGCGCCAAATTAACACATTTATTAACATTGATAAGAATTGACCAATATGGCATTTCTGATTCTTGTTTGCATTAGAACAGCAGCAGAGACTGTACTTACTGCTATTGTAACCACAGTACGGTCAGCAAATGCAGTCATGACTACCTTCTGGAGTATGTTCTCCTGTGTAAACAAAAACATTTGTTGCTTTTCAAACAACAGAAGTCACATGGTAGTCACACAGACACTAAAAGTAACCACTGATTAGTCTGTGCTTTTATTGATCCTACATTGCAGAAATGAAAAATTAACTACATGCCAGAACTAAGTCAGAGCCTGGTCTCCAGTTAGCCCTCCTTGCTCCTGCCACCCCCACTGCCTCTGGGCTTCAGTGCATGAGAGCTGTGCTCTGGCCCCAAAATCCCTGCCAACGTGGCCTCAGACTTACAGTGGAGAGCAAAGGTGAATTCAGGGTGCTGCCATTCTGCCTGCACGCTGGCGCACGTCTGTGCTGCATTCTTCACCTTGCTGTAAGTCTAGGAATGTCCCAGCACACTGGAGACATTTAACACCAAGGGGTGGCAGGGTTAAGAGTATGATGTACCTGGCATATTATAGCAGTGGAGATGATATTCAAGATGGTCTTAGCATACATAGTTCTCACTCAACAAGTACTTGTCCTTTGCTATTTAGGAAACCTTGTTGTGTACCAAACTGCCTACAAATATTACTAGCATAGATACCTTTATCTGCTATTACCTGTTCTTTAGATATGTATCTCAAGGGAGGAACTATATCCTAAATGCATTAAAATTAAAAATGTATTTTAACTTGGCTGCCAGAATTAAAAATTGTAGCTGTTGAAATAGACCCCTCCAATTATATTCTTTATTCTTAGAATGAAGAACACTGAAACATTTCTCATAACAACGTAACAAAGGAAAAAAAAACCCTAAGAATGCATTTGGCTAAAATCCAGTCAGTGCACTATGACTGTGTGGTTTAACATCTCTCTAACAGTTTCAGGCAATTAATGCAATAATTAGTATGTCTTTTCTGTATCTCTGTTTATTTCCTTGACTACTTTCAAGCCTTCGAAATTCCTGACTTGTCCACCAAGCTGGTCTGCTTGCCAGTTTACCTTTCACTGACCATCCCCACTGACCTTACAAAGCTTTTTTTTTTTTTTTTAGAATATCAAACTACCAATGAAAATCATGCTTCATTTTCTAAATGCAGGAGATGCTGGAATAACAACCCCCTTGTAAAATGATTTAAAAGCTTTTTAGAGTAGTTAGCAGTGACTTACAACTATCTTGGATTTGTAAACACACCTGCACTAAATATGGTGTAAGCATATTACCGAGTGGATAGTATTGCTTTCCACCTTTTTATTCACGTAGTAGCAATTGTCTCCGCCTCAAGGAAAACAAGAAATCAGGAACAGTCCAAACTCACCGTTGCCATGTCAATAGATGCTGTGGCTTCATCCATGATGAAGATGCTTGTCTTCCGCACAAAAGCCCTTGCTAGGCAGAACAGCTGTCTTTGCCCCTGGCTGAAGTTTTCACCCCCTTCTGTGACTATAGCATCTGGAAATGATATAACAAAACCAGTATTTAGGTGCTCCAGGTGTCAGAGGGTCAGATCAGAGTAGAGCATATGCTTGGAAAATAATGTCTCACTTTCAGCATAAAGATTCTCAAAGTAACATATTCTAGGTCTGTAGCTCCTGGTGGCCCCATTTTACTTGTTTATTTCCATTGCTCAGAAGAACTAGTACTGTCTCACTACTATTTCTGTCTCACTATATTCTTTATATCTATTAGACATCAAAGTAACTACGGATGTTTAGGAGTGAGTTTTTCTGGAACATGTGCAGTTTAGGTTACTGCATCCCCTGTCAAAGTAACATTCATAATTTCTTTACCTAAAGATTGTATAACTTGCCATTTTTAAGGTTTTTCTTTGTTTATGTCTTTGTGTGTGTTTTGGGGTGTTGGTTGGATTGTTTCATGGCCGAATGATTCACACCTTTAAGCTTTAAAAATCTTCCTCCCTGGATATGACTTGGAAAATAGAAAAGAACATATTCTAGGTAACACCTGACTTGTTGATACCTTATTTGAATTCACAAGAACCAATGCTTCATGATGAAGACATACTGAAATAAAATAATAATTTTATCATTTATTTGAATAGAACCAGGATTCTGCCCCACAGGTGCAGCTGGTAGGGGAGTTAGATGGATATAGCACCTCTGCCTGCAGGCAAGCACTTCCTGTCACCTTCTGAAAACCTAAAAAGCTTTTTCTTCAGCAACTACCTTTTTAATACGTAGAAAATGTGAAACAGGAATGTTGTGCACACTGGAAGTAATTTTCTCAAGAAGAAAGTCTTATTACCTAGACCCCCAGGTAGCGCTTTCACCACATGCTTGAGCTGTGCTATTTCCAATGCTTCCCACAGCATGCTGTCAGTGCACTTCTTCTCAGGGTCCAAGTTAAACCTGCAGTTATGTGTAATTAAAGAGTATCAGTCAATATAAACTTCTACAATATGTTTCTTCTTTTAGGTCACTTAGAAATAAACCTGCAAACAATCAGAATCATGTGCTCAACATCTGGGGCTGATTCTGATTTATCATTGGTATAAATGCTCTGAGTTTTGTAGACTCAGTCAACATTTATAGCAATGTGATTAAGAACAAAATCTGACTCTCAGCTGAGCAGCATTTGAAAAACTTTCTGTTTTGCAGATCTCTTTA